TCTCATGTCCATCGAAAACACGATCGATCTGCTATAAGTACTTATCGATCGACACGCCGAGACCAGTGAAGTATCTTCAAAGCCATCTGGATGGCCGCTCCACAGATGTTTCCATCAATTCCAGATTTGGCTGGGACCTTCCCTCAACAACAAAAGATTGCCATCACAAATGAAGCAAATAAATAAAGAAATGAAGTAATAAGATTTTAACCAATGTAATATACTAGCACAAGCTCAGTGTGTTTCAGATGATATTTCAGATGTTTCTTCAAAAACAATAATTCATTACAGGCTTAAAATCATAGGAATATACTCTCCCATCGCTTCGGCCGGTTTGGCACTTAGGTGGAAACCACCTCTCTGAGCGATTGTAAACAGCGTCAGGGAACATACACGGTAAGTCTACCACCTGTATGTTTCTTTTAGGTGCCAGCTGTTTTCCAGTTATAATTAAATTTGAACCTGCAACCTGCGACCTGCAAAATCTACCTGCCAATTTTAAAATACTTCAAGTAAGAAATTCAAATTGCCTTATCTTTTAGTTTTGTTGTTGTTCACACTTCGTTTCTTTTGTATTCCATGCAGTTTGACCAGAGGGAAAATTTCTTCCGAGATGGTATGCAAGTCAACCTACATATACGATTGAGTAAATATACTCCTAAATGTTTAGTGATCATGGATGGACAAATTAAGTCCAAGAGACTGTGTAGATCTACTTTTTGGGAGTGAGATATGCTGTCCAATTGTGTCAAACATAAGCCGGACTCTTGGTGGCCGGTGATGTAGATTTTTTTTCCTCTAGAAATAAGAGACTTAAACAAATTTAAATCAAAACTTGAAATAATTATGGAGAAGAGAATGCTTGATACTTGTCAACATAATTATGTTCTGTAATCATTGCAAAAATCTATTAGAAGAGATGTATCTGCAATCCTTTTGAATATTACTGCATTGCTATTGAGATTAGCACAAACAATTACCAAGATATATTGGAATAAAAATGCCATGATCTGTGTTTTCAAGAAAGAAAATTATTGTTATTTTAATTGCATACACTACAATATGTAGTACCCTTAATATTGATTGCACCAAGCTGGGGGACTTCTCCCTATAGTCGACTAAAGGTGCCCTTTTTTCAGGATGGAGGTATTATAAGACTTAACAGAACAGGGATTTCAAACATTAATTGATTATTTATCCAAGAAATAAGATGTAATGGGGCCACATGAGGTTTGTGAAAGGGGGTTAAAGCTAGAAGCTACATGTATATGAAAGAGAAGCCTTTCCTGTCAAAAACACTATGTAAAATGGATAGGGTTTTGACCTTAGGGCAGAGCCTCCTTGTATAAAAGTTTGTTANAAGCTAGAAGCTACATGTATATGAAAGAGAAGCCTTTCCTGTCAAAAACACTATGTAAAATGGATAGGGTTTTGACCTTAGGGCAGAGCCTCCTTGTATAAAAGTTTGTTACTTCTCCTCCCCCTCCCCATGGATATAGTTATATAGTAAAAATGACTTATAAATTGTAAATAAAAACATCCCCTTCACTTTGGGTTCAAGACTGAAACAAAACTGTCTGAAATTCTTATAATATTGAAGGAAATACTTTTCCTTCTATAGATGTCCCATTTACCAGCAAGCTAAAATCAAATTGTTTATATTTGGCATAGCTTTAAGTAAACAAGATTTTGCCAATATCCATGTCTCACTTAAGTGAAATTCAGGCAAAACACTCTTGGCAGTCTTGGCATTCTCAAGCTCATTGTCTAAAATAAATGTTAAGATCGTGTATCGTAATTTTTGCGTAATTGTTATACTCAGTTGTTTCATAATGTTAACTGAGCAAGGACCATAACCAATTTACCTTGACCCAAAATGCTCGGCTAACTCCCTAATATTATGTATATTATAACCAACTTCAGTGACTAGGTGAATATGGTGAAATCTCATTTAATGATTTCATTTTGAAACAGACTGTTGTTATTCTTTGACACTACATCATGTAAGAGTTAATTTAATAACAATGTTCCAGTTCTAATCAAAATTAATTGTTATCCATTTTAAAAGTTATAAGCAGTCTGTGTAAACAACCGGTTATTTGAGTTTTGTATTTCTTTTGTATTTTGAGCAGTCTGGGTTTGAGCCCTGGCTGGGAACATTGTATTGTGTTCTTGGGTGAGACACTTTACACTCACAGTGCCTCTATCCACTCAGGTGTATAAATAGGTACTGGCAAATTTAATGTTGGGGGGTAACCCTGCGATGGACTTGCGTCCCATCCAGGGGGTAGTAGAAATACTCTTAGTCGCTTCATGCTACAGAAACTGGAATAAGCGCTTGCCTGACGCAGACTTTACTTCCACTTCTGAGTTGCTGTTTCCTTCCTTTTCATTCAGGTAACATACTTTTTCATATGAATAGTTTAGCACAGACTCCTTTTGCCACAGAGGCAAAGGTCAACTTGGGATTGGCCAGTTCGTCCATGAGCTGGCTCAGGGATCCTTTGATTCTTGTTGTCCCAATATTTCATTGTATTTGCAAAAGGTTTTAGAATGGAGAACAACATCATAAGACAGTCATACATGTAGGAGGGCAGTCCCGTGTAGAAACATACAGACTGGTTGCTATTCAGGACGTCATCTATAAGCATTTCTTTCTTCAGTTCTGGTTTATTTTTCAGTTTAGCTTTGGCTGCTTCCGTGCAGTCGATATCTTCACAGGTAAAGTCGGTTTGGATACACTTCTCTACAAGGGACCTTGGACCAGGTGTCTGTTCAGTTTTCACTTCCCACTCTTCAGATAAAATAAAATCCAGGTCGCTCGAGCACGCAGTTTCCTGCAATTGTGGTGACAGGCCCACTGGTTCCTGGTTTTCCTTGTTCTTGTCAGTTTACCTACTTTTCTCCTTTATGCAGTCTTGGTTTTGTTTTGTAAGCAGTTCAAAGCTCCTCGTCTTCTTTCCTCTGGATCTATTCGCTTCCGCTGGGTTTTGGGCTGCAAATTAGTCGGAAAACTGAAAACTGCTGGCACCGGATTAGGCTTTGTGGGTCCCAATCCACCATCGAAGTGTGCTGAATAAATTCTTGTATGTCTTGCGACATTTAGACTGCTTAAACGACAAGCAACTATCCACCTTTTTCTCCTCTCGTTTTCATTTTCGGTCGTCCATACGAAAAGTGTGAAACGTTATTCCTTTGAGTTCTGGATATTTCAAATGTGTGTTTTTTGGTTTGTTTTTCAGTGCTGTTGGAGCACCCATAGGCACAGCAATTATGTTTAACCATGATTTTGCCGTCAAATACTGCAAACCAAGGTGACTCCATATTTTTTCCAGCTTTGTCAAAGAGTATTTTTAATTTTTACCCGCCCGAGCCTCGCTTTCGCGCCAAAAAAAAAGAAAACAAAAAAAAAAAAAAACAATCTTCCCAGACCAGTCCGGGAATACGAATAAGGCCTATTGAGCTCGTGAAACTAATGTCCACCTGAAGCATATAAAACAACTTCCAACTATCACGTCGGTCAGTATTGCCGGTTTCAAGTGTTGTTATCGACACCAAATTCAAAATCTGCTGTTGCAAGAAAAAAAAAGATTGGTGTCTCCTTGCGCGCAATCCTGAATAAATTTCCAACCTCGTTCGCGATGGGAGCTTGGAAACGAGGTCGGGCCTCCTTGTTCTGCAAGCCGAACCTTGTCAACTGTCATAGATCATTTAAAAATGATCTATGAATTCGTTTGTAAAAGGAAGTTTTGTTTTCTCAAAAGTTTACTCATTTTAGTTCTTTTTTGCCCGTTTCAGTGGTTATATGTTGCCGCAGAGTTACTCGACAAGAGGAAGTTTAGCAAAGTACTGTAACTGGCCACAGAAGGACTTGGTTGCTTCCGACACTTTAAAGGCCCTTTAAAATAATCAAATGACAGATTTTCCAACCCTTTCATATGCCTCAACTTGTGAAATCCCTAGCCTTTAATATACCTGAAGCTTGAAAACGGTACCCCTTTCGGGCGGAGCCTCCCCGCAAA